ATCTCTCTCTTTTTATTTGATATTAATTTGTATGAATTGTTAGGATAGTGAATTATGTGAGTTTTTTGTATTTTTTGTTGTGATTATGGGGGTGGGGGATGGTGTACGGTGGTGGGGTGGGGGGGGGGGAGGATAAGGTGGGTGGGTGGTAGGGTATGGTTGTGGGGGCGGGGTTGTACTTATTTATTTGTTTTTAACAAATGATATTATCTACACTAAAGGAAAGAAGAGTGGGTGAAGCCTCACAATGGGTTAACAATAATGTATATTAGGTGTTCATAGGTGAAGGTTTCCGGGTAGTTATTTTAGGTTGTAAAATTATGAAAGTTTTAGGTGGTAAAATTGTGAATTTTTTTTGTGTAATTGTGAAATTTATGAAAATTTGTAGGAAAATATGAAAATTTCGTAAAATTGTAGAAATTTGTGAAAATTTGTAGGAAAATATGAAGATTTAGTAAAATTGTATACATTTGAGAAATTGTAGGAAATTTGTGGAATTGTGATTTTTTTTCCAACCATCGCACTTGATCACCAGTAGCCTCCGCTTCTAGTTAAAGTGAGTGGTCGGCCCCCAGTGCCACCTAGGTGGCCAGCAGGGCCCAGGCAGCCCGTGTTGAGTCGGCAGCAGGTAGGTCCGACTCTGAGAATTTGGGGACCCTAAGTGAAATTTTGAAGTGGGGCCCTAAAGTTTTCTGGCCTTTGACTCTTTGTGCATTGATATGTATGAAAAAGAATTCGCTAATTGCATAAAAAGTTTATTTCTACATTAAATATCATTAAAATTAATATCAAAATAAAAATGATATACATACTTAATATTACACGCTTTACGTTTTTAGGCACAAATGTACTAAGTGTTTGCAGTCAAGAGTCTAAGATTGAGAGTGTTTTTTTTTTTGTTATTTATTTTTCGAGGGTACTTTCAAAAGCAAATGAGAAAAAAATGTACTATGTGTTTGTAGTCAAGAGTCTAAGATTGATAGTGTTTTTTTTTTTTTTTTGTTATTTATTTTTCGAGGGTACTTTCAAAAGCAATCAAGAAAAAAAATGCATTTGAAAGGATTGGGGAGCCTCCACGATGTTTCGAACTATCCACCTCAACAAAAACAGAGGGGACCATTTCCACTGCACTAACAACTCAATTGTGAAATTTTTTTTACGTTTATATATTTATATGTTATACAGGATATATAAAAAAATTGGGCGCCCCCGGAAGCTTGGGGGCCTAGGTGACCGCTTTCCCCGGCTACCCTTAAGGCTGGCCCTGACAACATGTTTTAGTAGTTCAGCACCATTGGAGTAGGTGGCGCAATTTTCCAAGCGCCCTTACAGCCATAGACGCCACAAGCATGTAGCCTCATCCTATCCCACCTTACTTATGGCAGTCACAGCGCGTACGCCAATTTGGTGATCGTGCATCATGCAGGGGATAGAGAGCTCCTGCCAGACCGAAGAGTAAAGTTCAAGGGATCTATAAAGGTTGGCGAGCAACGGGATCACCCGGGTAACATATAAGCGAATCTGTGTTGATTACTTCCCGAGTCACAGTGAACGAGTGATAAGGTCAACAATTTGTTCACCCACAACATAGGTGCCGTCATCTACACCAAGTACCCCATGGTCGCTGATTTTTGGAAGACATGCATTCCCCAAGTCCATGTCGAGATGATTAGACAGCTTTTAGTAAGTATACAACTTTCTTAATTTATTAATTTTTTTCCTTATTTAATGTAGTTTTAAACCTTTTTTTATATTATTTTTTGTTGAATTTTAGGCCAACTTTGAGTGGAACACGGAGGAGAAAACTGGGTGTGGATGGAGCGGTATAAGGAGTAGAAGTACAAGCTCCACTGCTACTACATGACTTGTCGGTTTCCTGATGTAACTCTTAACGATCCATTGGAGGAGTTTCAAGAAAGGATAAACGAGTGGCAGCAGTTGTGCACTCATTTCCCGAGCGAAATTTTTTAGTAAGTTTTATTTCTATTTTAATTTTTAGTTTAATTTTTTTTTAAATGTTATGTTTAATTAACTTTTTGTAATTTAAAGCCTAAATCAGCGGCAAATAAAGGTAAATGGGAGAAGAAGCCGTACCTTCATCACTCTAGTTCTCGTTCCCTATCTTACCAGGTCGAGGAATAGGGGGAGAGTGGGCATTTCTCCGAAGTGGAGGTTTGGGGGTAGACGCATGCCAATTATGGCAACAAGGTCACAAACGACATTTTATTTAACTATTCCGTTCTACTTTTAAATTTAAATTTCATACAATAAAAAATGTTTAAATTATGATCGATAATCTTAATTAGTTTCTCTTTTTGTTTTAGGTTTCTATGACTCAGAAGAAGGACGTACCTTGCCAACCTCTCCAGTAGCAATTGGATGTGCATATGGATGAGCTAACATCTGATCTAGAGGTGTATCGATAGTTGTTGATGGATGGGGTTGGGCGACAGAAAGGCAACGAATTTCGCAACCTTGGAGGTGGTCAGGTTTCTAATGTTGGGGGTTCTTCTTCTTTGTCGAGCTCTCATCCTTCGGCTAACATGTCTTCCAGACTTTAGCAGGTGAAGATAGAGCTAGCGCGCCAAAGAGAAGAATTTAAGCACCTGAAAGAAGAAGTTCTTCAACAGCGAAAAACTAATGCGCACAACTGAGAAGCAATGTGCCTCTACATTGTTGGGGTAGCCCAATCTTATCAGCTTCTGGCATTCGCCTTCCCGAGCCCTCGAGCGACTTTCAGGTGCTATTCCTTTTTAAAACGAAAATTTTAAATTAGTATAATTAGAATTAAATAAATTATTATCTAAATATTGTTTTTAAAACGAACTTTTAAAAATAAAAAAAATTTAGCCCGATGAATATTTTTGTCGAGCAAACTTTATATTATTTTTTTACTTTGGTTTTAAACAGTTGGGCTGATGTCATTTTTGTCGGGTCAAGTTTTTAACATTATTTAATTTGTTGCAGGGCAACAAAACCTCATAGTCGGGCAAGATAGTCAATGCATGTTTACTTGACGAATCTATTCATCAGGCAAACCCTGTTTCATCTTACAAAAGTCTATTTTTGTCGGTTAAGGCTTTAAGCTATGGGTTTTGAGCGACCAGTCTTTCTCGATGAACTTCCATCGGCTAACTTTTATGGTGACAAAAACCACTTACCGGGCTAGATTTTAATGAGGCACGTATCCTAGGCTGGTCATATTATATGTGTTCTACTTTCTTCCCGAAGATGTTTAGGTTTGACTTGATTTAAGTTCTCACATTTCTCCTTAGACTATGGGTTTTTTCTTACCTTGGTTTTACTGTAGCAAGGTTTTGTGAATTTTACCGTTCATGCATTTCCTTCTGGTTTGTCTTGAAACTCACATTTGTTTATTAAGCCGACGACTTCATCAGCTGCTTTTTCATTATCAATGAAGATATAAAGCGACGACTACTTGAGTATTTACACACGCAAGGGAAGTGTTGTGACATAAATTCTAGTACAAGTGTGATTGTGTAAATCCTTAGTAGATTTGGTTTACTCTTTATGCTAGTGATTATTTCCTATTAGGATTTGTATTACTTGGAGATGAAGTTTCTCTCCCTCTTGATTTTACTATAAATAAAGGCACACGCAAAGGGAAATCAATATCCCTGAAATTCCTCAATTCTCTTTCTATCTATTCTTGTCGCACCCTCTGGAGAAAATAGGCCATAACAAATTTGAATTTTTTTTTCGCATCTTTTTTGGAAGCCCCGCCAATCAAAGAGAGAAAAATAAATGAAATTCCAAATTTAGTTGAATAATAACTGCATTCATTTTCCCACTTGCAAATAACGTATCTTCATCGTAGAAATTTATTAATTCTAAACATTCAATGTCTTAATCTTCATTCAAAGATTATCCTTGCGGAAAATTGTTCGAACCAGAGATCATTTAGTCGAATATATCGAATAAATGGACAGTTCACCATTAACATGTTACTTGGTACCCACGCTACTATTGATTTATTTAACACATTTGAAAAACTAAATGCTCTCTAGTTTCAATATATTTTTTTTTTTTTAGGGATGATCTTCAAATGACAACAGTTCCGAATATGAATTCTACGATGAAGATAGGGGAATGAGCTCATCAACAAAGTAAGAATCCAAAAATTATTCATTCTCTATTTTTCCCATATAAATGAAACTTGAAAAGAAGAAAATTTTCAGGCAAAAAGAGTTATACTACATTCACATTTTTCATTATTTGAACCAGCTTTTTAATAAAAATAGGGTCCACCAACACATGTGGATTTCATCTTTCTTAGAGAGGTGGTATGAATGTGATATAAAAAATATGGTAAGAATAACACTTTTAAGAAAAAATACAACTTAAATTAAAGGGGTAATATGCTAGAGAGAACTTTTAAACTAAATTTTATAAACTATATGACATGATTGTTGATGATTGTATTATTACTTAAGTGTTAATTAACATGCTTATTTCCTATTGGTGACACATCATATGATTTGTAAATTTAGTCTAAAAATTTAGTTTACATAGCAATTTAAGAGTAATGCTAGGGAGACTAAATTTGGAGACTAAAATTGTAAACTAAATGATATGTCATCAATAGAAATAAGCATGTCTATCAACGTTGAAGTAATAAACCAATCATCAACTAATCATTTAGTTTTCCAAATTTAATCTCCCTAATATTACTCTTAATTTAATGCACTTAATTCCACTCTCCATTTTCCCCACAAAAATACAAATACCTTATCTTCAAAAGAAGAAAAGCGCAGGCCACTGCAACTGCATCTGCATGCATGCTCTACGTTGCTGTTGCTGGAGAAACTTTACACGGGGCAATGGAAGAGGCTACATGTTTACACCTAATCCCGACAATTTCACTCCTCCATTTCTTATTCCCCCTATAAACACAGAAACCATCTCTGCTACTGTCCTACCATCCATCTCTTTGAGTTTTCTCTTCCGTTGCAAAATTTGTAGATTCCTTAATCTTCATGATGGGGTTCCTCCTCTCCATATTCTTTGTTTTTCTTACTGTAAGTGAGCTCTGAAGTTTTAATTTTCGATATGATTTTACTTTGATAAATCTCGTATTTAATTACTAATTACACTTTCTTTATATTGCTCTTAGACTCTTTACTAAGGATAGCTCAGATTTTGCATGCAGCTCACACTAGCGGGAAGCCATGCTGCTGCCTTACCTGTTCCACCACCTCAACTTTACTGGAACTCCGTCCTGCCAAACACACCAATGCCCAAATTTCTCAGCCAACTCGTCAAGCCCGGTTAGTACGACTCATATGTACTCATAGAGAGAGATCTTCCACCATTTTACATAATAATCTTCATCGTTGCGGTTTACATGAATTTTCATTTTCGGCCTTGCTTTGAACTTTCATAGTTCAATTTTGTTCGACTTTAGTATGTCAAGCAAGTTGGTATGCATTTCCATTCATTTTCGCGCACACCTTTTCGTTTGAAAATTTCAATCTTCGTAAATTTTTTTTCTTCTTAAAAAGAACTTAGGGTAAAGTTTGGAAAATGTCTGATTCCCTGCTAAAATATCTTAGTTGTTTTCGATTTATGTTTGAGAACATTTCTGCAGACTTCATTAGTGTTGGGAAAGGGGGAGTTATCCTTCACAACCAAGTTCAAAAGGATGGGAATTGGGTTTATCCAAAAGATGCAGATGAGAAGTACATTTTTGATTACGGAGGTACATATGAGAACGCTCCCTTTTTTTATGTTATTAACAAACGATATTATTTACACTAAAGGGGAGAAGATGAGCTTAGCCTCACAATGAGCTAGTAATAATGTAGTTTAAATTTGCCATTGGTGCGAACGCTCCATTTAAATGCTGAAATATTTGATACCTTTGAAAATGGTGTTGCAGAAGAATTCCCAGATGATGCCTCTGAAAATATAGTCGACCCAACCGGAACAATTTTCTTCTTGGAGAAGGACCTTCATCCTGGCACGACAATGAATTACCGCTTAGCAGGAAATTCTGCAATTACCACACCTTTCCTTTCCCGCAAAACTGTTGAGTCGATCCCCTTCGAATCAAGCAAACTGCCAGAAATTCTCAACAAATTCTCAGTGAAACCGGAGTCCACGGCAGCCAATCTGATTAACAGTACTATTCAAGAATGTGAACATCAAGTCGCGAGAAATGAAGCAAAACAGTGTGCCACCTCGTTAGAATCGATGATTGACTTTGCAACTGCCATATTAGGAAAAAATGTTCGAGCAATCGCGACGGAGGTGGAAAAAAATGGAGCTGCCCCGATACAGAAGTACACAATAACTCCTGGAGTGAAGGAGCTGGCAGGCAACAAATTCACGGTGTGCCATAAGGTGGCCTATGTGTATGCCGTCTTCTACTGCCATGCAATTGAAAAAACAAGGACTTATATGGTGCCTCTGCAAGGAGCTGATGGGACAAAAGCTAAAGCAGTGGCAGCCTGCCATGAAGACACATCTGGATGGGTTCCTAATCATTATGCCTTCAAGGAGCTCAAAGTTGAGCCAGGAACCGTTCCCATCTGCCATTTTCTTAAAGTCAAGGAAGTCACTTGGGTTCCAAACCAAAAACCTAATTGAGTTGAATCCGTCAATCGTTCTTGTACCTGATCCATCACTTAGCCCATACAAGTTCTGGGTTTTGTATGTACTCCAGTAATAAAAGTAACACCATATTACTGACCAGTTAGTTGTTTATGTCCGAGACTACTGATTTTTTTTTTTTTTCCTGAACAAACGATATTATCTACACTAAAAGGTGGAATAGTGAGGGAGTGAGCTATTTACATGGAAGTGTTCTAATTTTCGTATAACATTTGTAAATAAGGAAATTGGAAGAGCTAATTAATATGATGTGCAATTAAGAATTATATAATATGGACTGGTTATAATCTAAACATTATCTTATTTACGTCCTCAGGTCTACATGTCCCAATTATAATTATAGAGTATATATAAAATAAAATAGTTTAGGCTTGTTGAAAAGGAAAAATATATGAGTTTTGTTTATGTCCATCCACTAATCGGTGATGAATAGGTCATTGATAGCACAATTTTTGTTTTCCAGTCGAAAGCCCAATTCTTGAATTTGCCCAATTTCATATTTGAGTCAAATATGCAAATAAGAGCCCAACTAATTCATTTAAGCAACATGAATTGAATCAATTCATTTTGAGTTTCAAGCTTACTTAACTTTACAAATTTTCTAAGTCAAGAAACAACAAAAACCAAGCCCAATTAGATCCACGAACTTGTGTCTCACTATGAGTTCACATCTTTGATCCAAGCTCACAGAAGTTCACATCTTTGGTCCAAGCTCACAGAAGTTCACATCTTAGTCACCAAATAGAAGCTTGAAGTTTTCTTGTAAAACAAACCTTTAGTTTGGTTATTTTACGTCCATTTTGATTAAATCTAAAGTTTTAATTTACTTCCTTTACTGTAGAAAGGATGTTAAACTTGAACAAGTTGGACATCACTCCTCTCAATATTTTTGACACTAAAGTAGGCCCAAGATATCAAGATGCACCTCAAGGCGAGAAAGTTATTTGATGCCATCCTAGATGATGCTACCAATGAGTCCCATAAAGTTAAGGTCCTTATTTTCATTCGAAAGCACATGGCGAAGGCCCTGCAAACTAAATTTCTAACTGAGAAGGACCCGAAGTCCTTATGATAAGCTTGAGTAGACCGCTTTGATCCCCAGAAGCTGATTACTAAGTAAATTTGTTTTAAAAGTTAGACAGGTGTCTAAAGAGGAGATATTGGATCAAATTTCAAATGTCCGGATTTGTACAGCCCTGCCAATTAATTTCGGAATTTACCCTTAGTGGTAGACCAAAAATGTCATAGTTACCCTTTATGTTAATAATCGTTCTATCATTTCTTTCTTTGACGATTTTCCACTAAAATTTAATCTCATTTATTTTATGGTTGCATCTAACTTCTCGTTAGACTACTTATGTACCCTTTGGAGGGATCAAGCCATTCATAGTTCCCTAACATACCTCATGTTATTACAAAGTCTGATAAGAATTCCATCTCATATCAAAGCAAGCCATAATCACACCAAAAGACATCCAACAAAAGCATTAATTCAATTACCATTCATGTAATCCAATTATGTACACAAGTAATCAACCAATAAGATAAATGATAAGGTAACATTCCACAAAGTTTAGTATAATCAAACTCCAAAAATGTCTGTCGTATTTCCTCTACCTGGATTCCTAAGCATTGCTCTCAGTTACTAATACATGGATCCACCAACATGGCTAAATCCATTTTGACAATATAAGACATTACTAAATGCATGACATGAACTTAATCCTAGTCAAAGTACTTGGAATACTAATTTAACAGCCCCCAATTCATATGCCATTTTGGTTGATTTCATCATTACCAATACGTTTGAATGGAAATAATTCTGGACTATAAGTGATTATGTGTTTCAATAGGCGTAGTAAGTGTATCAATACATTAAGTCATTGAGCTTATAATAGTATAAGAAAATGGTTCTTTGAAACCCAATACATACCATATAAAGTGATTTAATAAACTCAATATCGATAAGTAAATTAGAATTAAAATTTAGAGAAGAACGAACATTGCAAAGGAGCAACCTCTTCTCCACAAAAACTGTAGAAAAGCTGTTTTAGTCAACCAAGATTAACCTGATTTTGAACACTCATAACTATACCGGTTGATGCAAACTTACATGAGTTTCGAGGCTTGTTTTGTGTACTTCAAAAGCATAGAAGATTTGTAGAAAAACGGGAGGTTTCTAAGTTGAAAGTTATGCAAGTTTCAAAATAGAGTCTCGAAACTGGAAACCCAGTATTTGCTGCTGTCTGGCAGCTTTGGGACTCAAGTTTGAATGTGATTCTGACATATCAATACTCAATGGAATTAAGTGAAATCAGGTGGGTTGTGATCATGGACATGTCTAGTTTTAAACCACATAATATTGGCTCAAAGGAAATCCATAAGGACATAGAAATCAAAAGCCAAAATAGGCTACTTGAAACATAGTTTTTCTGTGAAGATTTAATAATTTCCTGCAATTTAGAACCTATACTCTTATAATCCAAATTACATATTCAGAATGTTTCCACACAATTCAGAATTCATGTTTATAACTTCGATTTCATGTTTATACTCCACAATTAACAAGACTTGACCTTTTAATCCAAACCCTAGAACAAGATATTTGATCATAACACCCAATGTATAAAATTGAAAATAATAAGAAAGATTGATACAAAGCAGCTATGTAAGGAATAAAGAGAGATGGGAATCGTTACCTATGCTGCGTTCTACAAAAGCAATCATATTTCTGTTATGATTCAAACGACATGGTTGTACCCCTTTCTCTCAGTTTCCAGTAACATCTTAATTCCTTATTTCTCTTTGCTTCTCCTGGTGCCTTCTATATTTCCTTCGACTTCTCTCAAATATTCATACATAGTTTATATCCTTGTCCCCCTTTCTTTTTTCCGTTCTCTCCCCCCTTTTCTGCTTCCTTGTTTCGGGACAGTGGGATTCCTTGTAAGGCCATGTCCGACCGAGGGCTGACCAGAGGGCACGTTTTAGCCATCTGACCCTCTAAGATATTAATATTTTAATGAACAATATAGGGCCATAGAGCTCGTTTTGGCATTGTCACAAAAAACCGTCTTCAAACGAGGCCCAAAAGATCATAGGGTCAAACATAATTTATTATTTAAAAACTACAACTTAAATTCAAATCCAACAACTAAGTGACATCAACTAGTCATTGGTAGCTGACATCATGTTGACATCAGATAGCCGTTGGATTTGAAATTTTTTTTTTTTTTTTTTTTTTTTTGCTATAAATAGGGTGGATATTGGACTATAATTCACACAACTTTGAATTCAATCTCTTTCAATTCAATTTTGCAATGAATTCCAACTTTGAATCTTCTTCTAATTCCAACCGGGGGTCCTCATCCAATTCAAGAAAAACGGGCGCAAATGAGACGAGAAGATGAGGAGTCTGATGAAGAAGTTTAAGTAAGGCGCAACAAACAAAACAGAACAGCAACCATGGCTACGGTCATGGTGTGTCAGCCAACTGAGGGCCAACCTCAATGAGGTGGCTCTGTTGCTATTTGCTCTTACAAACCACGAAACAGGGCGATGATGCATGCCAATCTGATGAACAACTACTTCAACCCTAACTTGATGTACACAGAAGAGGATTTCAGATGTCGCTTCCAAATGAGGCGTCATGTCTTCGAGCGTTTACTTCGTGATGTCCAGTAGGTCAATCTATGCTTTCGACAAAAAGGGGACATAACAGGGCGCCCTGGTTTCTCACCTCATCAGAAGGTTACTGTTGCACTCTGAATGATGGCCTATGACTCTTCAGCTGATTCGATGGATGAAACCCATGGTATGTCTGAGTCTACATGCCTTGATACTCTTGAACAATTCTGTGACACAATTGTTCAGGTTTACAAAGATGAGTACCTTCGTGAGCCAAATCAAGAAGATCTGATTCGGCTCATTCGCAAAGATGAAGACTGTGGGTTTCCGGGCATGATAGGGTCATTAGACTGCATGCATTGGGATTGGAAGAACTGTCCCACCAGATGGCAAAGAGGCTTTAGCAGAAGGTCGAGAAAGCCAACTGTTGTGTTAGAGGAGGTTGCCTCATATGACATATGGATCTGGCATGCTTTCTTTGGAGTCCCTGGATCCTAAAATGACATTACAGTTCTTGGGCGTTTACCCCTCTTCAATCGCCTGACGGAAGGTCAAGCATCTCAACTTGACTACTACATCAACGGCCGTCAATATGGGGTATTACTTGGCAGATGGCATACACCCAAAGTGGGCGACACTTGTCCAAGCAATTCCAAACCCTAGGAATGACGCGGAAAAGTTGTTCACCTTACATCAAGAGGTATACCAGAAGATGTTGAGAGAGCTTTTGGTATTCTACAAGCACGGTGGAAGATCGTCAGTGAACCGGTAAAAGGGTGGAGTCGAGATAGTTTGGACTCCATCATGATGTCTTGCATCATATTACACAATATGATAGTGGAGGATGAGCCAGATGGGTATATTGATGGAGAGTCCGATGACGACCAAGAAGATCCAAATAGGTCAAGAAGGGCTCGTGCAAAAATATATGATGAGCCTAATTTGCCTTTCAATCCAAGAATTGGTAGTATCTCTATAAATAAGTACATGAGGTGCTATAGAATGATACATTTTCATGCCACAAACAAGTACCTACAACAGGATCTTGTTGCACATCGTTGGGGCAAAAGAAGCATGGAGTAGGCGTGTAAGTTTTATGTTGTTAAATGTTTTTAAAAATGTTGTTTAAGTTTCATGTTGTTAAATGTTATTTTAATGTTGTATAATTTTTATGTTGGTTAATGTTATTTAATGTTGTTTTATATTGTTTAATATTGTTTCATGTTACTTAATTTAATTTAATGTTGTATAATAGCTTAGGAAGTTATAGGAAAAAAATAGAATTAAAAAATATATAAAACAAATTTTGTAAAATAGGAGTTATAGGAAAAAAATAGAATTAAAAAAAATATGAAACAAATTTTGTGAAATAGAAGTTATGGGAAACAAATAGGAAACAAATTTTTAAAATAGAAGTTATAGGAAAAAAATAGAATTGAAAAAAAATATGAAACAAATTTTGTAAAATAGAAGTTATAGCAAAAAAATGGAATTAAAAAAAATGAAGTTATAGGAAAAAAAATGAAGTAAAAAAAAAAAAATTCAAAAATAACGGCTAGCTGACGTCAGCTAGTCGTTATAATCAAAATTTTCCATGTTATTTGTGTCGATTATAACCGACACTATTTCTTTTATTTATATCGGTTATAATTGATAGCAAAACTGATAGTATTAAAAAAAATTCCAGCCAGCCCTTTGGCCCTTTCAAATATCATGGGGCCCATGAGCCTTCTCGCCTAGCCCTCGGTTGGAGACGATTTTCGACCCTCTAGCCCTCTGTACCCTTCGGTTAGAGATGGCCTAAGTTGTAACCCCCCCTCCGCCAATGCCATCTCCCCACTTTTTTTTTTTCCTCTTTTCATCCCAGCCACACACGTGGCACATCTCTTTTCACGAATGGTTTTCACCTAGGCGCTCATAAGGTCGTCCTCTATCCAAATAAAGATAAAATATGTCCTCATCTAATTACGCTAAACCAACTAGG